GTAAAACAATAATTTTTCATCATTTAAATTAGAGTTATGAATTGCAACTCACTCATTTAAATAACATAAATGTCTTAAATCACAGTACATGTGAGGTCAGAATAGTTCTGGGTGTGTGCACAATTGCAACTCATAAAACCTATGTTTATAGTTCAGAATGATTAAAATACATGGCTTATGGGCCGTTCACATGAAGAATTTTCTTCAGCGCAAAGAAGTTTTCGGTAAGTACAATCCTATAGCTGATATTTTAATTATAACTCACTGAATATTCCTAGTACAACTGTAAAAAGGAGACTTGTGGAACAAGATTTATCTTGAGCAAACAGTGTTTGCATCTTTTGTTACAGAAATAGAACACACACCTTGATTTGCACAGGATGTCTCCAGCATCAAGATAAAATTACTCACACTAAGCATCAGGATGAAAGCAGACATAAAGCCTGTGAATTAGTGCATTTGGTACTGGTTCTTAGTATTCCTTTTAGGCCCCTTATAGATCCAACAGATCTTTCTTTTTTTCTCGGCAGCTTGATTGATAGCCAAGATACAGAAAGAATCTTGCACTTCAACTTGGCTAGGCCATGCCCAGTTCTAGTTTTGTTCCAAAGGAACAAAACATATGCAATGAAAGAAAAATAGACTATAACAGAGGATGTAAAATGTTATACCTAGGCTAACAGAAAAAAACAAAAAATGTTCTTAGGAAGTTTTCATTAAATCTTTAGATAGTATTGAAAGTAAGACACCCCGTCCCAAAAACACACTCTTTGAAACACCAAATCAAATTAAACCGTGGCTCAAAATAAAGAGAATCTTTTGAAAAAGAACAGACAAATGTACGGATAATCTTTCTGAGGCTGATATATAGATTTATATAACACAGCATTCAGTTCTGGAGCATACATCTCACAAATGAGTATGAACCACGGCCAAAAATAATCAATAGTAATTAAAAGAGAATGTGTGAGTTCAAAAAGAAAGGAAGCCAAAATCTCAGCCAGAAAAAAAGGTTCTTTTCCAGCAGGGAGGAAGGAAGGCAACAGAAGAATCAGGGTAGCAGAGGCAACAGGAGGTTCAGAGGTATGAAGGTCATAGGAAGAGGCAAGGTCTGTCAGACGCGCTTGGTATATGCAGGGAATGATGCACAACAGTAAACTGTTGGAGGAAAAAAGTAAAAGGATAAAATTATAAATATTGTGTAGGTCAGAGCAGAATGGCTAGCATGCTCAGTAACGTTAAAGAATCAGACGCCCAAAGGAGGTGTAGGTGCATGGGCACATGTATTAAAATTCGGAATCCCACAGATGCTCTGAGACTAACTCCCTGGGTTCATGTATAAGCTAATTCAATCCCAACAGCACGACACCTACTGACAGGCAGCATGTCTACAAATTCTGCTTTACTTGGCCTGAATTTTATTCTCCAGAAGGTACAAGATAGATGATGTTGGAGATTCAACTTTATTCTTTAGCCTCAGATCAGGCTGGATGAGTAAGAGCAGCGATGGCAGTATAAGACTCCTAAGTCACACTTGCAAGTTTTCTTGCTTTAAAGACCATCTCTAAGAAAGAAAAGGCTGGGTCACTTGACAGATGCCTTCTGAGGCAGGGCACTATGACAGGCCAGCAAAAATCCCTACTCAGCAGCCTGCAGTTCTCAATTAATTTAGAACCACATGTAAGAAAATGTAGTTTCCTCTCTGTGAGTTTCTCTACTATTTTTGCTTCAAGTTAACAAAGTCCAACCCTTAGAGACTATCCCCAATGACTGTGAAAGACTAGATATATATCTAAGGTGACTGAAGAAATATGACCAAATTGCTTGTGAAACTGTGACAGCTTTTGTCAAGTGGCTTGTATTACCTGTTAATATATCAATGATATAATGAAAAAACATTAAAAATTAGATATGGGGACAAGGCTCCTTTTTGTTCTCCTTGTTCCTTAAAATTAACCTGGTATTATCCATCAACTAGTAGTATACACGTCATCTACACAAAATAACTTGGAAATGCTTATACCCACCCCTTCATCTCTTTCAAACTTTCTGGTTAAGTGATGATTGATTATTTTGATCTATAGTTAAAAACAAAGACACTCTCAAATCATGGTTTCACTTCTTTACGGACAGAACGCTTTCCAAAATTTAAAAATCAATCAGTTGTCAAGCCCTTAGCCAGTGCGAACCCTGAGTTCACTAGTACTTTATCCAGTGTCAGAGTGAAGAATTTAACTTCAGGATCTCACTCTACAATAATGTGAATTGTTTATTCTTTTTCAAACAGCTTTTAATTTCTTACGGCATTTCTTAATGATAGTTCATAACAAGCCAAATAAAGGGCTAATCATGGAGGTTCACAGGAATATTGCATCTATTCTAATGAGCTAGTTGAAAACATTTAAAGGCAGCATGTTTTAGTTGCTCATCTAGGTGCAGCAATGTTTCAACATGTGCATTCTTTACCTGAAGTAAGTAGCACAGAGCTTACTGTTGACTCATTTATTGGGAACTTCACAAGCTATGTGATATAACCAAACGCCATGCAACTGAGGTGACAATCTCCATTTCTGCATTCCCAAAGTGCTGTCAATCTTAGAATCACAGGCCATGAACAATCTGATTAGTAAGATAAGGAAGGAGAAAGGATCCCGTAAACGTATCATTTTAGACATGCACACAACATGCAGCTAAGGGTCTACCAGACCAAAAGTTAAGAGGAAAGGTCATGTCATGAGAATAAAAAGATTAAAGAGCAAAAACTGTGAGGAACAATTGTAACTCTTGTTTGTGGAAGAGATTCTTACCATTAGAGTCAGAAAAGCCCGAGTATCTTACTAAAGGCCCTATTCATGAATGACTTACACTCCACATAAGTTTGGAAAACTCCATCAAGAGCGATTACCACCATCCTCTATGAAATGAAAATTCCTCAACATGGGTTCCCCAAAGCACAATGGGACAACTGTGTGTTTGCTGGGAAGGAATGAGGGGTGAGGCACGGTGCCCCACAGACAGTGGCAGATCGTAAGGAACAAGAATTTAAACTCCACACAATCACAGAATTTTAATTTCTGAATGGGAATCTCATCTTGTGAAAGACAAACTGCTGCTGACAGTCACCCACTCAGCAAAGGAAGACCACAATCCTCATCAGAGAAAGCTGTTTTGATTTCAGAACAAATATGCCTTTCATCAATAGCTGGCATCAGTAGCTTATCCTCCTTCCCACCTTGTTCTATGAGAAAACACATTTACTGAGGTTAGAGTTAGGAAGACTGAAAATTTTGTTCTTTGAATCTACCGCCAAAGTCCTATTTGCACTGCTTGAGGCATTCTCAGGCAATAAAAAACATCATTGCAAAACTCTGTTCTTACACCGCCCAATCACTACAGTATCTACGCACCTTTCAGAATGGCATTAGGCAATAAAATTAGCATCTGTCATACGTGCTGCTTTCTCTCATGAGTACATCTATACACACTTCTCTTGTGTAAATCTATACACGTATCTTTACCTAGATAGAGCGCAGCATAATTACAAAGCTAAACTTGTCCCTCTCCAACACTGATGCTTTAAGTCTAAAATAAGTACCCACTAAGCACTACTCTCTTGCTCTCAATAAACTGAGGGTAATAAAAGCTCATGTTATGTTTCCATGTACGAGCTTAATCAAATCCTTTTGGCTGGGATATTGTGTTTGTTTAAGAGCAAATGATCAGGCTGATAAAATCAGAGCTGCATTGATTAAAGGGTATTTGATCACCAAGTTAGATCAGGAAAGCATTGCAAAAGAACACTGGTAGAAACTCAAATGAAGCAGAAATATTAATGCAAAGAAGGCCACTACAGATTTTTAATAAAGAAAACATTGTAGGCAAGCTGATGGTATCTAGCAAAAAAAGATTTTAAGTATGATATGATTTCTGTGCATATGCTGGTAAAAATCAATTAGGGTTAACCCTCAATAAGATTCAGGTTTTCTGTTAGTACGGATCTCTTTAATTTCCTTCTCTCCCCCCAACAAAACTTGTCAATCTGTATCTCCTCAGCACAGGTTTGAAAAATAATGCTTTAGATTTAGCTGGTATCCAACAGCAAACACACCAACATCAGAGTAACTGCTACCTGCAGAATAATTTTGGTAAAGAAAATGTCCTGGAAAAAGATCTTTTGTCAAATTAGCAGCTAATAGAGACATTTCTCTATCCCATGGTTAGGAGACACCCTCCTAACCTTCAAAGGAAGTGTGTCCATGAGATGCCGTAACGTTCAGAGCTTTGCTGCCTTTACAGGATCTACATGGGTGTGCAGGGCAAGCCCACAGAGAACGTAATACATGATCAAAGACTTGGATTGTGTACAAAGATTTAAAGACAGTCGATGGATAAGCACGAAAAAGTAGCATGAAAACATGCTTTCACAAATACACAAGGATGTGGAAAATATCGTATTTCTTTGTCTGATAACTGTTATGCCCCAAGGGGAAAAGCACACAAAGGACTACCCAGAGATGGCAAGGAAGATGTACACATTAGGACGGGAAGGCCTTTAACAATATACAGCTCCTGTAAATGATTTAATTTTCCTAAGGGAGACACCCTGTAGTTTTCAACCTAGACTGATAGATCTATTGACTCTCAAAGGAATTTGTCTCTGGAGAGACAGAAAAAACGTTAGTACAGAAAAACAAACATGGAGAATTAATAGAAGACAACAGATTTTTGCTTCCAGCTGCACAAAGTCACATAGTTTGATGGTTGTTTTTAAATGCTTCCATACAATGGCCAGGTGTCATCCACAAAACTGTCTCCAAACAAGTGCTTCGTTTATATTAATTAGTTACACTGCATTGGGCATTTTAAAAGACAACAGGCTGGAAAAAAGGGAAAAAACAGACATGCATGTCTAGAGAGCAGAGAGGAAAGTCTGGAAAAGCTAACCCTGAGAGTAACCATCAAAAGAGTGGAAATGCAAATACATGTATTTTCAAACATACGTTTAGGTACCAGCTCTGTTGGTGCCGTAACATCTGCTTCTCTGTAACAGACTGTTGGATCCACAATGTCTCTGTCAGGAGGAGGGTAAGGTGGGGGTGGGGGTATCACTAACTGGGGTGGACCACGAGTGGTGCCTCTAGGAGGCTTTTGTGGCACCTGCCGTCCATCACCTACAGGGGGATCAATTGACTAGTTACTTCATTGTCAAGATAATGATCGCTCTGTTTATTGTTATTTTTGAAACACACATTGATTTTCCCTTACCCACATCCAAAGTCCCTCTGGATCTAAGTCTGCTCTTATTTACCCCAAAATAATTAAGGGAGAAAGGAAAAGCTAGGTCTCTCTTAAACCAACAGCAATGGGACCAGAATTGGGCCCAGCACATATGCGTACATCACAGCTAACAGTTAAAATCACCAGTTTTGGCAGACATAAGGAAGGAGAAAAAAAAGGTTTAATAAAAAAAAAATGGAAAAAAGCTATGTAAGGAAATGTGAAAAATGTGTTTTATTTTTATCTTCTTAAGTGTCAAACTGCCTAAATTTGTTGACCTCTAGGATACTTTATGTGACTATTTTCCTGACTCTCTGAGAGAAAGGAAAATGCCTCAGGTCAGTATTTTGAAGTAGGTATTTTCTTTTTCTGAGTAGGTTTTTTATTATTTTGACATTGTGGAGAAGCAGATGATTAAGTTCTTTTTTGCAAAACAGTGTTTTAAGCTATCAAAGGAAATGCTCGTAACTTTGGCTGGCGGCTTATTTCAATACTATGTGCAATAACTAAATAAATACATGCACCTTTGCACTATACTCTATTAACCACTTGCAATGTTAAAAAGCTGCTGCCAGTTTGTAGTGTACAGACCTAGAGCTAATTGCAATTTGGAAAGTCCTTACAGGCTGAAAGTGCGCTGAGGAACCATGACTACCTGCTCATTCTGCTCTCATACCCTGCCTTAAGCATCTGCTGTAGTCATTGCTGAAGACAGATGCTGGCAGAGACAGACCTCTGGTCTGATCCATTCTGACCATTCCTATACTCTTAGGCTCATGCTCTGGTGCTGCTGAGAAGGGAAGCAGCACCGAGAGGGAGGAAAAAAGATTATGATGTTCTACTTAGGAGTCACCAGCTTCCAGAGATTCAAGACACAATTTAATGCTGGCAAATGTGCAGACCCTTGTTTACTGCTTTGAGAAAACTGGGCACAATACTTTGGGGTCAGAATAAGTGATTCAGTATTGAATACTGAAATGAATTTGTCAGTTTGAGAATATTTTTGATAGGTTCATGTGGCTAACGGGAGATGCATAGGTAGCTTTAATCCTTTTCCATTGTGCAGCTGCCTATTTCTTGCAGCACATTTTTCCCCTCACTACAGTCTTGCTTTTTTCACAGCTTTTCTCTCTTGCTTTCAGAGCCATCTGTGCTTTCTCATCGTTTTCTTGCAAGGGCCCCGAAGAGAGGCTGTTTTACCAACCTTCCCTTGCTGTAACATTTTTTCTTGTTAATGAACGCATTCATTCAAGAAAGTAGCAGAAAATGAAAAGCACTGAAGATAGGGCTACTGTGGGACGAGTTCTTTGTCGGTGTAAATTAATAAGGCTCCATTAAAGTAAACGATACTACTGAATCCTACATCAGCAGAGTCTGGCCAGCAAGCACTTATGTACACAGTACTGAACGGACTAGAAGTGGCTCTGCTGTGCTTTATTTCATCTGTAACGTTCCAAGCACTGATACAAAATAAAATAAACACTTATAAAAAGTTAAAGCACCAAATGTCATCAATAAGTGACCAGCAGTAGGGCAAAGCACGAGGAGCAACAGACTGTGACATCTGCAATGGTTAAAAGTAAGCCCATTTGCTGAAAACTCCTGTGTTATATGGCACAGCGATAACGTTCCCCTCAGAGGGTTTAAATAAGAGATGTCAATGGAGTCGAACATGTCACAAGATAATGGACTCCTGCTGCTACATAAATGCTGAGGCATTAAATGTGAAGCATTTACTGAAAATAAATGTTGGAACAAAGCCAAGAGATTTCTTTCTAAACTGTGAGGCATTTGTAATGTAAGCAATTATGTATGACAGGATGTCATATCTGTATGTCTTAGGCACTTTATGAAACATGAGGTCAAAGGCACGAACTGAAGTGCACTGAGTGCATTACAGCACTTGAAGAATGATTCTCTTAATGTACTGAAAAACGAGTTCCAATATGTGGGGTTATTATCTCATATCTTTACCCATCATAAAATCACTTTGTTTGCTAAAAGCCTAATCTGGGGGTCCTCACTCAGGCAAAGCTCCCACCGATCTGAGTGAGCCAGCAGTCAGATAACGACAGAGGTCTGGGAGAACATTTTTCAGTCTTCCTGTATGAGAGTAAATGTGGTGTCACACACAGCCGAAGACTAGAGTTTCTCTTGTTGTCTCCAGCTATGTATGGCATTCCTCTGAGAGCACCCGTTCTTTGCTTCTACTGATTAGCTAAAGACTCAGCAGAGATTGATTTATAATAAAACTGAGGACCAAATTCAAAAGAAAAACTTCACTGAATATGGTCAGTTGATGTCAAACTGTTGGAGGACCACAGGAAAAGAAAATGTCTTCAGGCTTCAGGAACATGAGGAGATACTGAACCAGCCTGACTGTACTTCAGTTCCAGCAGAACCCCACGGCTTCAGATGCATTCAGTATTGCCTGGCCTGTCTCCATTTACCAGCATTTCCATTTTCTATTTCCGTATTTCTGTTTACTAGCAAAACCACCATGACCTTAAAGATGCAGGATAGGCCCAGGGCTAGTGCTTTTGGATATCCAGCTCGTATCAAATATTCAGATCATCCGATGAGTGTTATCTACCTTTTACTACCCTGTGGTACTCTGAATGGTGGCATTAAAAAAAGAGGTAATATATAAACACTTATTTCCAGACTTTCATTCTGCAGAGAAATGCGTTTTTCTCCCCAAGTTACAAAAGTTCCCAAACTCACAGCATAACGGAATTAAGGAAACTTCAAACAGTGAGCACTGAAAGCACGTGCACGGGATTACACAGGAAAAAAGAACAGCTCTCACCCATTGTGCTCTTCCTCTTGTCTTCCCTCTCTTCTGTCCTGTTTGGCATGGCAGGAGTGGGTGGAGCAGATGCAGTTGGTGGAAGAGGGGCACGCCTCTTCTTTTTCTGTAAATCGTTTAGGGATGCTCCTTGTGAAATCTAGCAAAGTTGAAAAATAGGCACAGTAAAGGATATGTTTTGTCGGTGTTGTAAATTGTCAGTAACAAAAAAAAATGTGATTGTCATATGACCTAATTTCTCAGCACAGAATATTTATAATGAGTATTTATAGTGACAACAGGAGATTAAAAAGACAGATCAGAAGAGGTATAGCAATACTGCACTCAGAGAAATAAAGGGACAAGAACTGCAGATCAATGTCACAGCAGAAATACCAGTCTGGTAGACATTTGATGTTTTTGGTAAAAGGGAACTAGAGAGCCCAACACTCAGCAATGCACAGTATGACACTACGTGTGTTGTTAAGCTTGAGCCATAGCATGATCTTGTTTTTCCATTGATTTCTTCAGACCTTAAATTATGGTTAAATACTCCAATCGGTATGTGTAGGGAATAAACTCTCTCTCTTTTCTTTGATTGTCCTCTCAAATTCTTGTTTAAGGACTTCTGAGGGAAGGATCAGAATTGAAAGTTTGCTTGCATGATGATATGAGATCATACTGTACTCTATTTATGTCTACTGGACTTCACAGATGTACTTTTGAAGATCTGTAACACCTCGGCTTCCAATAATTGCAACATGCCGGTTGGCAAGCCAAGACTTCATTACTGTTTACACTGCTTTTAAAAATACAAAAAAATTTATTACAAGTGACTTGGGTTTCACTGGGTTGCATAATATTTTCTGTAGCTTGTTGGAACTTAGCTATATTTCCTTTTTCCGGAAAAATAATAATAATAAAACCAAAACCATGTAGGAAAATCTGTTGAATTTTTATATTTGAAAGGTACTGACAACACTAGACAGAACCAGGCTTAGCTGAGGCAGAGGGTAATGGGAGCTGCCCACACATGGCATCCTCAGTCTTCACATGCATCACTTCACTGCTCTGTCTGTCCTGATACTCCCCATAGCTGAAGATATCGAATATACAGAACGGCCTGGTGGTTTTCTAATATTTCAAAGGCCTAAACTGCTCTGTCTGTCCTGATACTCCCCATAGCTGAAGATATCGAATATACAGAACGGCCTGGTGGTTTTCTAGTATTTCAAAAAGGCCTAAAATAATAATAATCTTTCCTTTAATCCAGAGGATTAACAAACCCTTAAAATACATTTGTTGTGGGAGATTTCATTAAACCAATAGTAGCTTCATACTGCTCAAAGCAGAGTTCAGAGGAAAGGCACTCATTTAGATGCGTCGTTTGCTACGCTGAGTGAAAACTCTGAGAATAAATGAGTTTTACAAAGAGTAGGACATGAATAGAACCTCCCTTTTAAAAAGCGCTCAGGAGGGTCTTAGGTTATAAAACACAAACATTCAGTTCCCACCTTTCAGAAGAATGCTTTAACCACTGTGCCACATAACATTTGGACACTCTCCACCCATTCTTGGTGAACCTGCATCCTGCCTATGGAGAAACTTGGCAGTAACTGCGCTGGACATAGAGCACGTTAACCAGGATGAGCTGCAGCTTTGTGGCAAACAGTCTCTATAAGACAGAGGGGATGGAGGGTGGGAAATAAAGGTGCCCTGGTCTTGCTTCCTACTACTATGGATTATTTCTGCATTTTACATTAAAGGTTCACTGGATACAGCGCATGACTAAAGCCAGTGAGGCCGATCGAGATAAAGTTAGGCATAGTAAACGGGCAAGAATGTTAATGGTAATTAGTGATTTTGCAGACTTCAATTTTGGTCACCAAACTTCAGGGAATTTGAAAAATTACACTTATACCCAGAAAAGAGCACCAGGCCAAACGTTCAGGAATGGATAAACCAAAATTTTAGAGCTCCTTTGCAAAACTTTTGCCCAAAGTTATGGTGTTGCTCCATATTAAGATGGAGCCGCTCTCCTGATGAAGAAACTGCCTGCCAGTGGTTAGGAACTGACTGCAATTGGCTGAAGTTGAATCCCACCCCTCAACCCCCCTAATTCTTATAGAACCAGAATGCCCAATATTGAGCTGAACACGGGAAACTCTGTTCAGTGAAACAGACTCATCAGGCTTTGGTTTACAGAGGAGGAATTACATGGAGGACAGCTAACTAATGCTGCATTCTTCTCCATGTCTATTTGGGGCAACTGGCAAATAGGCACTTGGAAAAAACCCCCACATTCTTCTGCACTGCATTTTAAATAACTAAAGACGTGTGAGCATTTAATACTGTATCTTGATTCTTCAGGACACTATCTTACCAAAAAAAAAAAAAAAAAAAAAAAAAAAAAAAAAAAAAAAAAAAAAAAAAAAAAAAAAAAAAAAAAAAAAAAAAAAAAAAAAAAAAAAAAAAAAAAAAAAAAAAAAAAAAAAAAAAAAAAAAAAAAAAAAAAAAAAAAAAAAAAAAAAAAAAAAAAAAATTGAAGTAGGGACTTCGATTAATCCGACTACAAAGTCTCCAAAATTCAGTAGCTACGGAGAACTTGAATCATCTGGGAGACAGGCAGCATCTGAATTTCCCCAACATTTCACAAGCGCAAGCCATGACTTTTGTGGTTATTTAATGGCATTTTGCAGCTTCCACATTCACTCCTGTCTCTCCAGACAGAAAAGTCATTTTACTTGAGGACAAAAAATAGGTGGACTGGTGGTTTAGAAGGTAAGTCTAGGAAATCTTGACAATCAAGGCAGAAAGTAAGGAAACCTGTGTTGCCACTTGAAATTAGAGAGATCGCCAATCACCCTTCCCCAAGTACCCGATGAGTGAAGGATGTTAGTTTGGTATAGTCGAATTCCTCAAAGATACATTACTGCTTTTACTAAGAGGAGCTTAGCTTATCTTTTTCAGCTCTATGAATTCTCATGTAGTTGAATCTTCTGAGGAACATTAGATAGATGTATGGATGAACACGCTGCTACAGCTAAAGAAAAAGCTAGCAAATAGCTAGTGCACAACTGCAATAATGCAAGTTTGGTCAAATACACACATAAAAATGCTTTTATTACACTGTCAGCTAAGTGCAGTATACTTCACAAACACCATAAAGAAGATGAAAAGCTTGTTTAAAGCCAGCCACACTACAATGTATATAAGAAGTGTCTAGTTCAAGAACAAGTCATAAAAATTGTTAAAAGTAGTTCTTTAATGCCAACCTCAGTAAACCTATAAGGCTAAACATAAATGGAAAAAACACAAAGAACACTGTTTCTTTCTTGCAATTATATATACCAAAACAATAGAACTTGAAAATAATTTGTTATGGCTGGCTGCTTCTTTTATAAAGAAATCAAGCCTTAAACATTATCTAAAGTAATTTCCCATCCAAACTTTGTTACAGGAGCCCCCCTCTGAGCATAACAGAATTATTTCCTAGTCTTAGCACTTGTGCTTCACCTACATAGCATTTTTAACTAGAAGAAATTATTAGGTCAGCTTCTGTTATGCAACAAATACATAATTTTTAAAGATGTTAATAAGTGTTCTCTGACTATAATCAATACCATCAACTGAGCTACAGATGAATAAATTGGGCCAAAAGGACCTAAGTCTGACAAACAGTGTCACTTCTGTTCCCGTATTGATGAGACCACGTAAGATGCAAAAAACAATTTTCCATTAAATTCATGTCATGGCTCACATGCTGTTTGAAAAATACTTCCAATATTGCAGAGAAAATATCTGAGGAATGTGCTGAATGTGTTTTCTTTCTGTGAAAGTTCAACATCTTTATTAAAATTTGAGGGCTTTAGATAAGATTTCAGAGTATGTTTAGAGCATAACATCATCATCATGGGGAGGTTATGTGTCAAAATTGCGTGGAAAAGAATCCTACAAGGCTAATGCTTGAAATTTTCAATGAGTAGCATTTGACAGTCACCTTACTTGCAAAAGGTCTGTGGATACTGTAAGAGTGGATGTGTAAATTGAGTTTGAGTTTCCTCATGCATGAGTCCAGTATTTTCTTTGGGTTAGGTTGCACTGAATATGAATTCATGGAAAATATTAATGGAGGCCCAAGGAAACAAAAGCCACCACCACCAAAAATTCATCAAGCATTCAAAGACAAGAAGGTTCTCAGATAAACTTCCAATGTGAGCTCCACTCCTTTGCCTTGCCTGTCCTCTACTTACAGGTCAGACGCTGGTTTTGTATTTATCAACCCTTCCCTATTAATCTTTGTAACAGAAATGTGTATCTATGGAAGTACTTGCTAAGTCATCTGGCAAATGCCACCTTTCTTTTATTCACAGACCAAACTAGGCCTAAATTTACTGCAGGTTTACTGCTCCCGAAACTGATCCTCCTTCTGTAAGCCAGAAACTATACTGTTAATTTGTGCTCCTCTGTCCCTCCAGTATCTACCAACATTCGCAACCCACTTGATGACACTGACTATGTATCTCAGTTGTCTGAATCACTACTTTGACCAAGAAGGAAATCTCACTCTACTGTCTCCAAAAACAGATTAAAGACTCTACAAGAGCATACTCGGAGAGCCACACATACCCATGTCTGTTCTGTTAAGGACAGCCCACACACACTTGCCATGGATGGTAGAGAAAAAGGGACTGGGCTTAATGCAACCTTGGAAAGTGCACATAGTGCATCTTTGTTAAATAACAAAATACTGTAATGTTGCAATTACTGCAGCTTTATCTTGACTAGTAAAGAACCTAGCAACTACCAAGGTGTTCCAAAATGGTGATACAGCCAGGTAAAAATTCTTAAGCTAACACTAGAAGCCCAGCTGGATTTTGTGGGCTTGAGGGAAAAATACCATGTAACTTCTAAACTGGATGCTGAAGGCCACTTTGGTGCCTTCTGGGAACTACTGCCTTTCAAGCAACAAGTTTTGCCCATTTATTGAATAGCTGAGCGGGACTTGATACTCTTCAAGGACTACTGTGTTGGGACACAGAGACCAGGAGAACGAGCCATATTTTCTTCCTTCTCCCAAGATGGATGTCTGGGGAGAAGAGTGGACATACGAGAGACACATACTTTCTGCATGACTGAGAAAGAGCTTGGAAAAAAGCT